TAAAAAAGCACAGTTGTTTGAAAAAAAAATAATCCAAAAGTGCGCATATATAAATGCAAATGTTTTTGATTAGATTGGACTAACAAATAAATATAAAATTATTACACTATATTATTGCATAATAACTATTCTTTTATGTAATTAATTATATATTATTTATACTAATTACTTGAGTATATTATTGACTTTTATCGTGGAATGTTTAATTATTGCAATAATTCTTAAAATGCCAGTATTCTATTGCAATAAGAAAATAAAAAACATTTTTCATAAACAGTAAAAACTTTTATAGCTCTTGTTAAATTTTTTATCAAATAAGTGAATTTCTCCACCAAAATCTAAAGCATAAACTGCTGCCAAAAAAAAACTAAAAAAAAAGTGCAAAACCTGGTCAAATGACTACCTAATAATTTCTTAACATAATCTTCAAAAGACTAAATGTTGTTAACAAATTAATGGATAGCTAATATGAAAACCCAAAAATGTTAGTCTAAAGAATTTTTTTACGACGTAATAAATGATACTTGTTATATAAATATTCTTGTAACATTAACATTACAAAAATAAGCTTGTAACAAGTATAAAACCATATTTTGTATTTAATAAGCAATATTTTTAATAAGTGAATAAATAGCTTGTGCAAAAACCAAAAGCTCTCGTAAGAAGCTGTTTAGAGGAGCAGTTTGCATGGCTCACCGTGTTTGCTTTAGGAGAGTATTTCTCTGACTAAAAACTTCCAAACTAAAAGTTCGGAAGTTTTTATTCCTAATCTTCAATTTTACTTCAAGCCTCATTCTACTCCACATTTTTTACCTTGAGCAGTTTTTCACATTTTTCAACTTGAGCAGTTGCTTTATTAATCATTCATTTTATTTTTTTTACAAGAACATCTCTCATCAGAACAAATGTGCCTTTATTATTCCAAGAAACCAATGTAAAATGGTATTGTCTGATGTTGAGCTATGTTATTCTCAGTTTACTAAATCTTTTATCTTATATCAGATTTTAGGTTCTAGAGACTTTTGGTTAGTCTTTAACAATGTCATTAACTAAGTTAAGCCTAACATTTAATCTCTAATTCATGAGTCTGACCTTTTTACTTCTCCCCAGAACAAATCAGAGTTATTTGCAATCCCCAGAGTTATTTGCAAAGAAATCTTACTCTAACTTGACTCTTGAATCTAATGGCCATACTCTTCTTGCCAGTTAAACAGATTAACCCATAGCTAAACATCCAAATTATTCTGGCTTCCAATGCTAAAGTTAATTCCTAATTTAACACTTCTACAGTTAGTGCTTCAGACAAGATTTCCATCATAGTCTTAAAAAAGTGTTCTCTATAAATCTCTTCAATTTCTGCTAAATTTTTAAAAAATGCTTAAAAAATTTTAAAACTCTAGAAAACGCTTTGACCTCTCCAACTATCCTATAACTAGTCATTACTCTGATATTAGTTTCTTTATATAAAGGTTGTGAGATTATTAAATTATTTCTTTCTAACTGCAGTATTAAAGTTGTTCTTGAAAGCCTACACTCTCCTTTATTTCAAGTGACTTTACCACAAGGTTCTATTTTTGCTCCTGTATTGTTTTTATATCTACTATACCAATCTTCATAAAATTTTACATCTAAAGTAGCCCTATTTACTGATGACTCAACTTTATACCAGACTTAAAATCCACAATTTTGTAAGACAAAAAACTCATTTATTTACTGCAAAAAATATTGCAATAATGTTGGCATTCCTATATTGATAAATAACAACCCTCTTACTCTCAGACAAAGTCTAAAAACAAATTGTAAATGTAATTAGACCTGCTTTATCTGCCAAGCTTGAGTCACTCTACCATTTTTGTAAGGTTACATTTCATTTTTTTACAAATACTATCATGGTCAGTTCTCAAACAAGCTATCATCTCTATTACGATAAACTAAAACTCATTCTTGCTTGTTTCTTATTCAACAAGTTGCATCCTTTCACTGTATCTGTCCCTTAATGCTATAAAAACTTTTATTAATTCAGTTTTTTCCCTTGCGCATCAAAAAAACCTTATAACTTTTAGCCATCTTCATGTTTTTCTTTTATATACAATCTACAACTTTCTAAGTCTTCAGTTAACCATTTCCTAGCATTTTTACTTATTCTCTATTTTAAAGTAACTCATAACTTAAAAATGGTTGCTTGCAATCTTGTTGGAAGTAAATTAGAGTTTGAAAATATATAAATATATGCTAGTACTTAATAAATATAACAAATATAATAAATATAATAATAAATAAAATATAAATAAAATAAATAAATATAATAATAAATAAAATAAATAAAAAAAATAAATAAATATAATAATAAATAATATATTATAATAAATAAAATAAAATATAATAAATATAAAATTTAAATAAAAAATGTAAGCATAAAATTATAATATATAAAGTATTATGAATGTTTTTCTAAATTATAATATATAAAGTATTATAAAATTTTCCCTCTAAATGTGTTTTATTTAATAGAAAAACACTAGGTTTACATTTTTTTCAATAAAAAAATTTTTAAGAGGTAGCTTAAGACCCTTGAATATTTAATGGGTCCCTAATATTTTCAAAAAAAAGTTTTGCAAAAATATGTCAAACTAGTACTCAAATGAAGCAAATTATATAAAAATTTCAAAAAATAATATTCATTTCAAAAAAATTTGAACTGATCAAAATTATCATGAAAAAACATAAAAAAAAAGTTTTTCAATTTTTTGTTAAAAAACGCAATTTTTTATGTAATAAAACCAAAAATAACAATTTTTTGATTTTGAAAATATTTAATATTAATTTTGAAAAAATTAATATTATTTTTGAAATTTTTATATAATTTCACTTCATTTGAAATTATATATTCGAGGGTCTTGGGGGACCCATTAAATATTCAAAGGTCTATGGGGACCCCTTAAGATATTTTTTATTCAAAAAAACTTAAATCTAGTGTTTTTGCATTAGATAGAACACATTGAGGGAGTGGGAGCAGATTATTTTGAAAAATGTTGTTTTTTTAGACACCCTAATATATATATATATATATATATATATATATATATATATATATATATATATATATATATATATATATATATATATATATATATATATATATATATATATATATAAATATATATATATGTATATATATATCATGCTTGGACAGGAATGGGGCTCGATCCCAGCTGTAACTGAACACTCTAAGAATTTTTTTCTTTACAATATGAACATGGCGGTTTTGATGTGTTAAATTTTTTGTGATGACAGTAAGCAGAATTAAAGGTAAACTTGATTAAAAAAAATACCTGTACAAAATGCCAGAAGTGGAAAATGTGGTAGACCATGCATCACTACCTTAAGAGGCAATTCATAAATTTTGTGTTAAAAACAAAGCAAAAGTACAAAAGCAGTCACTAAAATCATAAAGAAGCCGGTATCAAGATTTATAACAGAACTACAAGGCTTCGAATAGCAGAACTGGGGTTTAAATGCTACAAACCTGTGAGGAAGCCTAAACTTATGCCAGCGATGAAATTAAAACATCTCACTTGTCCAAAACAACACCTACATATGTCTGCTGAAGATTGGAATAATGTAAGTAAATACTTATTTAATTATTTATTGCAACAGCATCACTGATTAAAACATTTATATAAGAGATTTATATCATTATTTTTATTTGTTTTCAGGTGTGTTTCTCAGATGAGTTCCAATTTGAAACATTAATGGATAAGTCTTCTTTTGTTAGAAAAAAAAAGAAGAAAAATATAACCCAGACTATGTTATGGAGACAGTAAAACACCCTCTATAAGTGATGGTGTAGTCAGTTAAAAGTAGTAAGGGTAGTGGCCTTCTTTATATAGTTGAAGGTATGATTAACCAGGATAAGTATAAAAAAGTATTAGCTACCAAATTAATTCCTCTGTTACATGATTGGTTTCCTGATCCATCCAAATGCATGTTTATGCATGATTCATGCCATAACGCTAAATCAGTGACAAAATATTTAAAGTTGAAAAATGTTACTGTGTTACTATGGCCTAGCAATTCTCCCGACTAAAACCCAATAGAGAACGCTTGGAAGCTTTTAAAGTGGATATTTGGGCACAAAACTATAACCAACAAAATAAATCTGATAGAGGCACTAAATAATGCCTGGCATAATGGTCAGAAATTAAAAACAAATGTAAAGTATTGTATCCAAAGTATGCCAAGAAAGATACAAGCAGTAATTGATGCATAAGTAATTGAAGCCTAACCAAATGCTAATTTTTTTTTTTTTTTTTTTTTTTTTTTTTTGTTATTCACCTCCTCAAGGCCACTACAGACGAGGAGGCTACTAATAATAGTTATAACCCTCTCTCAACTCTATAACTCCAAAACACAAACCTTGACGAACAAGGCTGCTGCACGGAGAAACAAGTTGAGCACGGTACTACCAGGGATATATATATATATACATATATATATATATATATATATATATATATATATATATATATATATATATATATATATTTTACCACTACACCACTACCGCATTATATATATATACATATATATACATATATATATATATATATATATATATATATATATATATATATATAATATATATATTATACATATATATACATGTATATGCATATATATATATATATATATATATATATATATATATATATATATATATATATATATTTATATATATATATATATATATATACATATATATATATATATATATATATATATATATATATATATATACATACATATATATACATATATATGCATATATAAATATATATATATATATATATATATATATATATATATATATATATATATATATATATATATATATATATATATATATATATATATATATATAATTTTAATTTAAGTATATTTACATATATTTTAATTAATATATATAATTAAAAAATTTCAAATAAATATATAACAAATACCTTGACAGAAACTTTAAAACAGCTGAAGCTAATTTTAAATCAATTCCTTCCTCAGTTAGCAAATCCAGTGGTGGAATAAATAAACAAGCCTCAGTTATGTTTTCAGTAAAATATTTGCTTTTTTCAATTGCTTCTTTTATCAGGTTAAATTCAAAACTTTCCTCCATGAATATTTTTTCATTGTTTGATGTTCGATATTCATTATTGGGATATATATATACTTTAATTTGATGCATACTATTCAGCTTGCACATAAAATGATTAAAACAAGAATGAAAGCGACATTTTTTATTAGTAGGAGATGTATCTGTTAGGGTAACGACATGGCTTCGATATCCATTAGACAAATTTAATGCAGTAAATGAATCTTTAGATTTTTTCAAAAATCTCAGATAGTCAAATAAAATTATGGATATTAAAATAAATAACAAAATAAATAACACCATGTAACGATGCACCAGTCTCATAATATTAAAATCTAAAAATAAAAAGAACATGCATATATACACAAATAAAATGTAGTTTTCTTGCAATAAACACAATGATAAATTTATCACATTTTACTATCATGTTATCAAACTAACTTCTGCTTTACTTCTTTACTTACAAATTCATTCAATAATTTATATTATATTACAAACCTCAAATATTCATATTAAAACTATGTAAACATATTAAAAATAATTTTTAATTAAAAGCTATGCTAATCGCAAACCACAAAATTGTCACTAACTGTTTTAGAGTTTTTTCACAATATAATTACATTCCTCCTTGATCCTTAAGTATCACACAAACATTAGTCATTTAAGTCATTACCAATGACAAGCTTCATCTGTTATTTGAAATATTCAACTATTTCACACTCCTTATTCTACAAACTTCATTCTACAATTTTCATTTTACCGCCTTTATTCTATGTACTACATTCTACCATCTACATTCTTTCTTCTTCTGTTTTAGAAGGACTTTCTCTTTATTCAGATTATCTGGTAGTTTCTTTGCAATAAACGAAACAAGAAATTTATTTAATCAAGACCTGTGGGAAGATATCATAGCACCAGACAAAAAAATCAAAATTTCAATCAGCTTAACCCAAGGCAAGAGGTTACCAGACTAAGTTGTTTTGCTCTCACCCTACAATTAGCTGTTGGTGCTGGTCCCAAAGAAGCAAAAATTTTCTCCGCTCAAGCTAAAGCATCCAAAGTATATATACTTTACTTCATACTAACACAAAATTTAAAGGGGCTTTTGAAAAAACGTTTGGCTCAAAGCAGGGTATTCCTTGAGTAAATGAAACAAGATCGAATTCCACATTCTGTAACATAAATAGCATTGCCACTTTGGGTGAAAAGAAAAGCCTACTTGATGATTGAAATTACTGCAATCTAATACTAAATGAAAGAGAACAAATGCAACTTAGAGAACTCATTGATTTTTTGCAAACATTTCTTGAAGCCATGGATATGACTTAAGGTAAAAAAATGTGACAGTTTCATCAGTACTTCTTTCTATTGTTGGGCTGTATAGTCACTTGGAACAATTTAATATAACTTATATGTCCGTTATGAAACAGACATTGCAAAATAGTCTTCAAAAAAGATTTTCTGGTATAATTGCAAATGTCTATCTTATCTCATCAGTAGATAAGAAACTACCAATTGATGACTTGGTATATATTATTGTCACAGTTTTGGATTCCAATTTTTGCTTCTTTAGACTGAGAAACTATTTAATGTCAATCCAGGCTAAACAAACAATTTAAAGACAAATATTTTTTCAATCATTTGTCAGTTCTGCAACAAGCAGTTTAGCCATACCCATGCAGCCATAGACGAAAAAGTTTTATCAGAAAACCTTTACCCTTTGAAGCTAAGGATTAATTCATCTTTGTACTCATATTGTAGAATTACACCTGTCAGTCAGACTGGAGCTATATCACAACCACATGTGAAAAGTTTTGATACTCAGTTATATTGCTATGATGAACTGAACAATGAAGTGTTTGACACCCTAGACATAGACTGTCTCCAATATTGAAAAAAGCACGGGCAAAAAATACCAATTTTTAAAAGTGCTGCCATGTATGCTCTTGTGGTACCTGCAAGCAATGCTCCTGTTGAAAGGGTATTAAATTAGGGTGGCCTGATTATGAGCCCTAAGCGTTCAAATTCTGACACTGTTTGTTAGTTAGCGTTTTAAAGATATAACACAGTACTTTAATAATTTTTATAAAAATCAGTATTAGTAATCTATGTTTAAAATTAATAAAAGAATGACAGTTTTAATAAAAAGGCTAAATAGCTTAAGAAGTATTATTTCACTGTATTGTGTATTACGACTTCTTAATACTATACTATAGAAGCTATATTAATATTAAAAATGATAGTAATAAAAACTTAAATAAAATATTCATTTACATTTTTTATGACTGTCGTTATTACAGTCGTTATTACATTACTTATTAATATAGTTTAATATTTATCGGTGATATTTATCACTATTATTATTATTGTTATTATTGTTACTACTATATTGATTTATTATTGATTATTATATTGGTTATTATTATTACTACTATAACGATTTAAAATAAAATCTTTATTTACATTTTTACCGGATCACACCGGACTGCTATGGACCACGCCGAAGTCTTAAATATATTTTAGTTCATACAATATCGACTGACAAATAATAAAATGCTACTAAGTCAACTGACAAATAGATTACAGAGGCGATCACACCGGGAGGGGAACAAAAAATTCATTGATTGGGGAGGGGGTCACACACCCCTACATTCCACCTCCTTCCTTTACGCAGGCCTTAGGTAGATCATTATAGACTCGTATCAAATTTTGCAAGAAGAAATTTACTTTTATAGCTACATTTAGATACTAATTCATTCCTCTTATTTAATAAGTTATCATTGGTAAACTTATTAAATAAGAGGACATACATTTCATATAGATAAAGGTTGCATTGTTTTATCGTGAGATTGAAGGACTTACAACATTTTACAATTTTCCATTCAATTGTCGGGTTTACTTTATTTTCTTTTAATCCCAATACTTCCTTAAATAATTTGTATAGTTTTTATACTTTTTGAAATTAAAAGATTTTATATGGTTAGCTAAGTTTATATGCGGCTTCACTAACTCCAAAACACTTTATCGTTCCCGTCTGGAGTGCAAGGGTATGGTTTGATACACTATGTTATTTACAAGACACTGTTGATTTAAAGAGCACTTGTTTTTAATAATAAAATTGCAATGTTTATTGGAATCTGAAGTAATGTTTTTCATTATGTGATGGTTTTGAGAGATAATAACTGATTTTATGTTTGGCATACAATTGTAACTCACCTTTAGAGTGTTTCTATTAAAAATATTGTGGCATTTATGGCCAATTGAGAGGTGTTTGTCTATTAAATCCAAAAAGAGTTAATCAATTTTGGTAGAAACATTTTTACTTTTTGGGGATTTTAACCAGATAATATTGCGCTTATAGTGTTTTGATAGAGGTTGGATAAGTTTCAGAACATAATTAAGTTTAAATTTGTAAGTATATATATATATATACACTACCGTCCATAATTATTCAAATGATCATCCTTTTCGATATGAGATATCAGCGTTTTACTTACTATTTAGAGAGGAATTGAAAACAAAGTCAAACTGAATTATATGTTATCTTCCTATTTAATAGGTTCACAATAAAATTAATATAAAATCCCATTAGATTAGTTTATAGTTTACTTGCCTTTTAATCATCGCCATACATATTCTTGGCATTCTACTTAATAACTTATCCAATTTCTGATGATTTCGATGCATAAAATGTGGAAAAAACTAATAAGTTTTTTCCACATCTTATGCATCATTACACATTTGTTTTTGACGTTACTTCTCGAAAAAATCCGATAGAAGAGAGATCTTGTGATTTGGGAGGCTAAAGAATTCTGTTCAATATTTAATCGTTCTTGAACGCAATCAAATAACTTATTCAATTTTTTTGTAAAATATGTTTCGGATTTAAGCTTTAAGTTATTTTCTTCTGAAAAAATAAATGGTTTCCCATTTATCCATCTTTCTGAAGGTGTGGCATGATTTTTTAGTGTACAAGTAAACTACTATTGTTATTACTCCTTCTATTTTTACAAAGTCACCAGTGGCATTCCAACCAAAACAGTCCCACCCCTTAAAACTACATCCTGCATATTTTACAGTCTACCACACACTATTTACACACTAATTTATCATACATTCAACAGTTTTTTATGCTAGACAAACAGTCTTATCTTGAAACCACAGATTTAAAACTTCGACACGTAGGTCCACGTTAACAGTTATTGATGGTCCATTTTTATGTAGTTTTGCTCACTTTTGCATTTTTATTATTTTCATGATTTTTATTAAAGAATTTTAATCAAAATACTTTTAAATATATATATATATATATATTATATATATATATATATATATATATATATATATATATATATATTATATATATATATATATATTATAGTATATATATATATATATATAATATATATATATATATATATATATATATATATATAATATATATATATATATATATATATATATATATATATATATATAGGTATATCTATATATATATATATATAGTATATATATATATATATATATATATATATATATATGTACTATATATATATATATACTATATATATATATATATATATATATATATATATATATATATATATGTATATATATATATATATATATATATATATATATATATATATATATATATATATATATATATATATATATATATAGGTATATAGTATATATATATATATATATATATATATATATATTTATATATATATATATATATATATATATATATATATATATATATATATTTATATATATATAATATATATATATATATATATATATATAGGTATATATATATATATATATATATATAATATATATATATATATATATATATATATATATATTGTGTGTGTGTGTGTGTGTATATATTATTTTTTGCAAGAATCAAAGTATTGCTAATAGTTTTTGAATAACTTTTTCAAAAAAATATGAATTTGATTTAACATATTGCATCACAAAACGCTGTCAGAACTTATGTAGATTACTTTACATTTAACTTAGGGTGCCTAAAAGTAATGATGCGTTCAGAACGATAAGTTAAGCAAAACAAAACAGCGTGTGCTCTTTTAAAATTCTCTTAAACCGTTAATGCCGAACATTATAAATTAAGTTATTTTTAAAGCATAGGTATTAAAAATTAAAACAATAAAAAGTTTTTGGTATCCAAACATATATTACGCATAAATTTGCTTAGTTAAATCAAAAGATTTGCGGTCATACATGTTGCGGTCAGACAAAACCATTCGTTGCGTTCAGATATATAACAAAATTGAGTACATATATTTGTTCAAAAAATTGTTTTTAAAACAGAAAGGTATACTAAGATACTCATCTTAAACTAATTAGATAGTTGACAAAGTGTTCTTTTGGGATGTAGTGGATAGATCTAACAATTTTTGGAGGTGGCAGAACGCAAATAATTTTCTCATGAGAGTACATTGCAATGTCCTTAGTTGGAGGGTAAGTGAACTCCACAGACGAAGAAATGCCATGCTTATGTAAACATTGTATACGCCAATTCAAAGGATTCTGAAATTCGGTGACTGAGAACATCACATTGCCAACATAAAAAACTGGACACTTTTTCTTTGTTCGCGGAATTAGCTTTACCACAAGATAATCATCCACCTTGATAACCAAAATTACACAGTGGAGCAGTTTCAGTGAGAGGATATAAATTAGATGAAGTGTTAGAGAGCTGTATACTACCTGAAGATGATTTATCATTTTTTGGAACGCACTGCATAGAAGTAGGGCCACCACCTAAACAATTAAAAAAATGTAAATGCTATTTAAAATTTTAATTAAATACGTTTGATCAATTTTTACCTTTTGTAGGAGTATCAACTATTTCAATTCTACCCATCATTTTGCTAAACTCAGGCATGCATATGCCTGAGTTTAGCAAAATATTAGTATTAGCTCTTAGCTGAGCCAGCAATTGAGACAATACTTTCACGAGTTACATGAATAGAGTGTTTTTGCTGAAAATTGGAAACACGTTGCAAAGGTTGACTAAAGTACCGATTTTCTATTTACTCCGCAACAATCTTTTCACTGGGATATGGAATAATCTAAAAAAAGAATAAAACGAGATCAATACAAGCCTTTAACATCACTGACAATATAATAATCTTGTAAAAAAAATGTAATGTGTCACCTACCTGAATTTTCTCTGGCTTTACGACAGATACGAAGTTATCAAAACAACGCATTGTTGCCCTTTCAGAAATGACCGATTTCTTGCCATCCGCTTGACTTCCCCACCAATACAATCGACTGCGCCTTTACCATTTACCAAGACTCCGTTTCGTTTGAATGATGGGAAGGGCTGACAGTATAAACCGATTTTTGTATTGGGATGGGGAACCATTGGGAAAAATAGTTAGGCACTTTCTACACAGATCCAGAACATCGAGCACAGCATTTGTGTAGCAAAGTACAGCTACTTAACTATGGTTAAGGTTGTCACTCACAATAGCAAAACTTTGGGTTTGGTCTTTCATCTAAACAACCACTGTATAAATTGTCAGCATTTTCTTGGTCCAGTGAGTACTTTGAATAGCATATTTCTCCTTTAATAGCAGGTTCTCACTAAAGTCCATCTGTACAACAATGGGAATTATAAATACAAAAATTAACGTTGTAAATGATAATTTAATGTTTAATTATTTACCTGGATGATAATCTCTCCAACATTTCTGTTCAGAAATTAAAAATAAGCTCTTTGAATTCGTTTCACAAAGCAGTGTCTTAAAAATACAGGCAAATTAGTGAAAAATTGTGGCATGAATTCAGTAAAGGGCATTGTTTTAACTTCCTTAAACCCAACACTTCACTATTCAAATGTCACTTCATCTGCACCATTCACCAGTTCCAACCAGCATTCAGTAAACTTCTCATAGTGAAGATTACCACAATGTATTTGGTTTATATTATTGTATTTGATTTATATTAATGTATTATTATATATTTAGTTAAAGATTACCACAATGTTCACAAAAAAAAAACATACACTCTTCGTGAATGAATTGCAAACAAAAATTTTTAGAATGTATGGGTTGACCAAGCATATTAACGAGTGAGTCGATTATAAACTTAAAATTTGCATGTATAGCACACACGCATACATTTTCTGGAATTTCTCTTTAGAGTTCAACATAAAATGGACGGCTGGAAGCGAATTTTAAAAATTTCACAGACACACCAGCATTGTCATTCTTGGATGTTCCAAATGCTTTCTTCCGTGTGAATAGCAAATGAAGAGTTTGTCTTTCTCGAGTGACTTTACTCATAGTAACATCTTTGATGCCTAACGGGAAATATCGTCGCGTCCATAAAATTTATGAATTAGTAGAGTGAGAAAACTCTTCTGTTCTATAAGTGTACTACTTGGTCCATCATTATTAACTACTTGCAAACTAATCCTTTTGCCCACTTCTACAAACACAACCAGTTGACGGTCTTCAGCAGCTGGTAAACTCTTCATAACTTTGTTTACTGCCTTACCAAAAGACTGTGGTGTTTTATTGCTTCTCTGTCCCTTTTACGTTGTTCTAATTAATCAGGTGTTATGTTTTGTCTCAAGGAGCCTACTCGAATCTTTTTTTTCACTTTGTAATCTGGATGAATACCACAAAATTTTTTGAATCTAGATCCCTTATCTAAAATAAAATAGTATTAAAATATTAATTATGACAAACAAGCGCTTAAATGGGTAATCCAAATTAATTTTCTCATTTCTTAACTTTTGTTAACAGTTGTTTACAGTTGTTTGATACGTTGAATTTAAAAACATAAAAAATTCAGATTTTTGTTTATATAGGGTAATGCAAATAGTGTATTGGATGTTGGAATTAAGGTATACCCTAAGTTAGAAATACTTCACTATGTCACGTTCAAACATTTTAAGTTGCGACATTAAGACCAAGAGGTTCAAACATTGCATGTGGCGTTGAGAAACATGTTGTGTTCAGACAAATTTAAAAATCATTTTATTTAATGAATTAAACATTGAATGAAAGTTAAAGTTATAGTCTTAAATATATTGATGCTAATTACAACTTATATAAATTTAACATTAAAAATGTCACGAAAAACTACAGAATAATAATAAGTTGTTAATAACGGTGTTGCGTTAAGATATTCAAAACATAAATAACTACAAAACAACAGATAAGAGTGATCTTGTGTTGACGAAAAAATGAAGAGTAAGACTTTAATAAAAATATGTTGTAATTAGATTTATTCTGCTAATCTATTTAACCTATATTTTCAAATTTAAATTTTATTGCTATTTAGCAATAAAATTTAAATTTGAAAATATAGGCTAACTTTTCATTCATTAAAAATATATAATACTATATATTTTTAATGAATACAAAATCAGTGAGCCGCAAAATACTTTTTTAGAATAAACGTAGAAAACATATTTTCAATGTTTATATTTACCAAAATAATGTTAAAAAATGCAGAAAGCAATACTTTTTTTTAATATGATCTTTAATCTTTTGACGTGGAATTGCGCATATATATATATATATATATATATATATATATATATATATATATATATATATATATATATATATATATATATATATATATATATATATATATATATATATATATATATATATATATATATATATATATACATATATATATATATATATATATATATATATATATATATATATATATATATAATATATATATATATATATATATATATATATATATATATATATATATATATATATATATACAAATTTATACTTAATTATATTCTGAAACTTATCCAACCTCTGTAAGCGCAATATTATCTGGTTTAAACACCCCCCCCCCCCCCCCCTATAGTAAAAATGTTTCTAACCAAAATTGGTTAACTCTTTTTGGATTTAACAGACAAACACTTCCCAGTTGGCGATTAATACCACAATATTTTTAATTGAAACACTATAAAGGTGAGTTACAGTTGTATATCAAACATAAAATCAACTATTATCTCTCATAACCATCACATAATGAAAAACATTACTTCAGATTCCAAAAAACATTGCAATTTTATTATTAAAAACAAGTGCTCTTTAAATTAACAGTGTCTTGTAAATAACATAGTGTATCAAACCATACCGTAGCACTCCAGACAGGAACGAAAAAGTGTTTAGGAGTTAGTGAAACCGCATTTAAACTTAAATATCCTAACCATAAACTTAGATACACTAACCATAAATCTTTTAATGTCGAAAAGTATGATTCAATGTTTCAACATCAAGGTAAACGGACGCACTTTTTCTTTGCTGTAAAGATTTATTGAAATTTTCTGAAAATGTCTAAAAATTTAAATATGACACAAGTTAAAGAACTTCTTAAAGTACATGAGAACACGATTATTAAACTTTTCATTGAAAAAATTGAAAGACTAAATATCAAACTATGCGTAGTGCAAGAAGACAACAAAAAATTAAAAAACGAAGTCACTGAATTGAAGAAATCCGTTGGGTTTATAAGTGATAAATATGAAAACATCCTTAAAAAATTATCTGAAATTAAAAAAGCAGAAGGTTTATGTCGCCAAGAAAATGATAGTAACAAAAAATTAGAAAACGATGAAAAGGTAAACTAGCCGAACTCGAAAATCAAAGTAGGAGAAACAATTTAAGATTTACTGCCATAAAAGAAAGTGATAATGAATCTTGAAAAGACAGTGAAAACAAAATACAAGAACTTATTAAGTCTAAGCTTGGTTTAAAACATGATGTCGCCATTAAAAGAGCGCATCAAGTTGGTAAAAAAGAAAAACATAAAAACAGTTCCCTTATAGTTAAACTTCTAAATTTTAAAGATAAAAATATGATATTAGAAAACTACATTAAACTAAATTTGTGGAATCAACAAATCTATATAAACGAAGACTTCAGCGAACAGACAATCGAGATAAGAAAAATACTGTTTATAGATGCAAAAGAATTAAGGTCTAAAGGTAAGTTTGCTAAGTTGCTCTACAACAAACTATATTCACATTATTTTTAAACTTATATACATGCTTTTTTGAGCTGATAATACTAAAATGAATTCAAAAAATCATGATTTTAAAAAATTATTTAACTTTTTTCAAACTAATAATTACAACTTCAATAAAAGCACTGAGCCAGATTTAAATTATTTTAACGAAATTAACACACCTGAATTTAAATGCACTTATTTATACCACATACATCGAAAATTGGAAAAACTATATTAACTGAATCAAATGATATTGCAATCGAGTTGAATAAACATTTTACAACTATAGGAACAAAATTATCTAACAGTATTCCAAATATAAACGATAAACACGTCAATGATGCACAAAATCTCAGTAATTCAAACATAAATTATACTGAGGTAACTTATACCGAATTTGATGATGCTTTTAAATCATTAAAAAAAAATAAAGCAACAGGATATGATGGCATTAATGGAAATATTATAATAGACTCTTACGACATTATTAAAAACATTCTTTATAAAATATTTAGAGCATCTATAATTCAAGGATCTTTACCAGATTATCTAAAGATAGCAAAGATAATTCCTGTTTTTAAGACCGGCGAACATATTAATATGAATAACTATCGCCGTATTTCAATTCTTTCATTTTTCTCAAAAATTATCGAGAGGATAATGCATAACCGAATCTATACATACCTTATTGAAAATAAATTGCTTTATGAAAATCAATTTAAATGGAACAATTCAACTGAGCACGCTGTTCTCCAACTTACACGCAACATCTCCGAATCTTTTAAAAACGGTCAATTTACATTAGAAGTCTTTATAGACCTGTCCAAGGCTTTTGACACTGTTGATCACAAGATCTTGTTAAAAAAACTAGTATCATATGGTATAATAGATAAAACAGTAAACTGGTTCAAAAGCTATTTAACTAATCGCAAACAATATGTTTACAATGAAAACTCTGGCTCTCTGAGGAGTGTATATTGATGAAAATCTATCTTGTAAAAATCATATTGACAGTACCTCCTCAAAAGTTGCAAAATCTATTAGAATTTTATATAAAGCTAGAGACATATTAAACAAACAGCAACTAACGCAGCTACACTATTCTTTTACTAATTGTCACATCAATTGTGCAAATACAGTATAGGGTAGCAATAATAAAGCAAAACTTAAATCTCTTAATCATCATCAGAATTTTTTTTTTTTGTTTTGTTTTTTATTTGCTATAATTAGTACAAAGTAAATTTAAATTGAATATATTACCGGCATGACTTGTAGAAGATCTCACAATCTTATCATGAAGCCCTTTACAATCTATATAATAAAAAAAATTCGTAAACCAAATAAAGTTTAAATCAAAACAATTTGAATACTTAAAAATAAATAATAAATAATATATAAGAATAAATAAATATTTATTGCGCTGAAAAGATAATTTATTTTACTTTCCGTTTAAAAGAAGAATGACATTCATTTAAAAAAAAAAAAAAAAGTAACACTATTTTATTCTAAAGAAAAAGACCACGATAAAAAATACAAAACTTGTTATTTTTAGTTCGGCAAAATGGCTCTTAGGTATTTTGGTAATAGATAGTTAAATAAAATAGTTGTGTCGATTGGTGTTAAAAGATCATTTTTTTTTTTATGTGGTTATCAGGTTAAAAAAAAAAACGATTTTGTGAAATAATTTGTATTTTAGTTTATTGAGTAAAATTTAATTGGCTTTTCAACCATATATAACATATATAACGTTTTTATAACCATATACAAATATATAACGTTTTTTTTTTATTATTTAATGAAGGTATGTTTGTATAATTTTGTCAGGTCAAGCATATGGTCATCATGATCACCTTCATGGTAACAGTGGCTTAATTTTTAAATTTTTTATTACTTGCAGTAATTGCAATTCAAAATGTACCGACTGGCTTCTTAAAAAAAAAAGTCCTCAAAACGACAATTTAACCGACTGAATTGTGTCAAATACCCGGCTAGCCGACTAAATTCGAAAAAAACCCGCTATAACTTGAAAATCACCTTCTTTGGGGGGGGGGGTTAACATCCTCCCACACCCACACACACACACCCGTAAAATTGTCTCTGGATCTGAGTGTTGCATCAACTGTAATAAATTACAATGATAGTTTGACGGGTTTCACAAGAATTTTTGATTACTTGCAGCTCTTGCCTGGAAGTTTTATGATCCAAGGATAATAGAAGAAGGAAATACTAGAGTAAAGAGCACGATTAAAAATTCAACATCTGAGCAAAATATAGCATGAAGCTATATTTTGCTCAGATGTTGAATTTTTAAAATTATATATTAGTTAAATCAAAATATAGCATGAAGCTATATTTTGATTTAATTAATATATAATGTTTTAAACTTTAAAACTTGATTTTTTAATTGCGTTTTTTTCTCTGACTGCAAATAGCAAACTATTCATACTTTTTAAACTAGGTATGATATTGAGTTCAAACTTTCAGAACTGTTTTTTTACAGGTAGAACTTCAATACCTTAATTCAATACTAGAACTAACTTTAATACTAGAACTTGAACTTGTTTTTATTTAAATATATTGATACTTTACCTTTTTGTAGCGATAATAATCTTTGAAATTAAAAAAGCTGCTATTTTAAAAATAACTATTATTTATAGTTTTTCTCAAAAAGTTTTGTATATTACATTGAAATCGATCGGAATTGTTTTAGCTGAAAAAATATTGTTGAAAAAATTTTTGCCATTGATTTTCTTGCATTGAATCAATGCTGAATCAGCAAAATTAAATACTTAAATTTTTTTTTTTTAGCATTTTTAATTTGTTTTTCTTAAAGTAATTTTATTTTATTGCAGTAATCAATACAACTTCCACCTATAAAGTTTAGAATTGATGAAGGGAAGCACACCAGGCTTTTCTATGCTGACGATGGACATTGCTGCAGCCGAAGCAGCATCTTAAACATGTTTTTTAAAAACGTGCACTGTGGGTGCATCAACTACATCCGGAGCTAATATATTCCATCGGTTAGTAACACGGTTTGTAAAGAAGTGTTGACGTTCTGAATAATTTTGATCAGTTGTGGTTTTAAAAATCGGCTGTTTCTTCTCAGATTATATTGTGAATTTAATAAGAAAGGCTTTATGGTATGTAAAATTCAACTTCTTGTAACTGATGAGCGATTTTGTATGCAGTATAAGGTCACTGCAAATTTTGTGTTCTTCCAGCGTGGTTAGACCTAGTATTTGTAGTCTTTTTTCGTAATTAAAATGTTTAATCGACAATATAGTCTTTGTTGTACATTTTGAAAACTTTTGAGAAGGACAATTTTTGATTTAAGATGTAGAGACCAGGCCTGTACACAAAACTCTAGATGCGGTTGAACCTATAACTGGTATAATTTTTTCCAAACCTGGAGGCTACGACATCGAAATGTCTCTTTGAGGCAACCAAGCATTTGATTTCTGACCAAAGATGCTGCTTCTACTTGTGTTTTCACTTTGAGGTTGTTGGATATTAGTACCCCAAGGGTGCGCTCAGTGCATGTTGGAGATACACTGTTGATATCGATTACTGTTGATGTCAGCCATTTTATAGATATATGTTGATTTATTTTTGCGGCAACCAACGTACATTACTTTGTACTTGTCGATGTTGAAGTGCATAAGCCAGTTATGTGACCAACTTGCAGCGCTGTCAATAAATGTTTGCAGTCTTTCATAATCAGAGGATGATTGATTATTATTTGTAATTCCTATGATCTTGCCATCATCGGCGTATAACTTGGTATAATTGCTAATGCCATCTGGATAGTCATTGACAAAGAGCACAAATAGCAATGGTCCAAGTACTGATTCTTGAGAGACTTGTCACCCTTTTATACTCGGAAGTTTGTTCCCCAATAACTACACGTTGTTTTCTTTCAATTAGCCAAGCAGAGATCCAGTGGAATAGATGGCCTCTAATATCATAGGCCTGAATCTTGCAAAGGAGTCTTTTGTGTGACACTGTGTTAATAGCTTTGGCAAAGTCTGTCAAAATCTTGACAAGGTGTCCACGGTAAGCTGCCTCCGTGAAAATGTCACGGGATTCAACTAGGTTTGTAAGGCAACCTTTGTGATTTACAAATTCATTTTGAGACTTTAAAATTAGATTGTGCAGAGTACAGTGTTTCATAATCTTTTCTTTTATAATTCTCTCCATTACCTTGCACGGTACAGAAGTGAGAGCTACCGGCCTATAATTACATGCCTTGAGTTTGTTTCCTTTTTTGAAGATAGTAATAACATTTGATTTACGCCAAAAATCTGTGACATTTCCAGTTCAAAAAAATTGCATGAAAATGAGTGAAAGAGATATTGCAAAAGCTTATTTTTTAAACATTTTTTTAAAACACAGGGATGTACTCCGTCGTATCATTCGTATCATTCGCAAAAACTAAGGTCGTTACGTTATAAGCTTTAAAAAGACAATTTATCAATATTAAAAACAATAGTGGCTGAAGTATGGATTCTTGGGGAACATCACATATTAAATTCGTTATTAACTGCAATGAAGATTCCTAGTTATAAACAAATTATTTACGGTTATCTCTTATTACCAAAATACTGCTTTTTTGATAGAAAAGGGTAATTAACACCCTATTCTATTAAAACTATTGTGGCTAGATAGCTCAGTTGGTAAGAGCGTTGAACAAAAAGTTTAAACCCGGACAGTTGTAATATACGAGTTCAAATCCTGTCACCGCCAACTCAGCGCTTGAGTAGTACGGTATGCAAAAATGTTGGTCAATAACGGACGCTACTTTGAATTAGTCTTAATGACTATTTGTGGCTGTTCTTATGCTAAGCCAACAATATCTTCGGATATAAGAACATTGTATAGAAAAATATAGCATGAAAATTCAAATAAAATTAAGAAGAAAAAAAAAATTAACAGTATCAAAAGCTTTTGAAAAATCAAGGAATATACTATTACCAAAGCAATAAGTGGACATTCTGTTATTCATTATTCTTTCTAATATTTTTGAGAAGACTCATAGAACTAAAATAGGACGATGTTTTGCATGTATGGTCACCTAGTTTTAAAAATTGAAGTTATTTTGGCTATTTTCAAACTTTGTCAAAGACTCTATAAGAATAGATGCTTTAAAAGTTTTATAAATATCTTTAATCACAGCAAAAGAGACCATTACTATATTCCCATTTATAAGATGAGACCGAGTTGCTTTATTTTTATTTTTTTTTATTTTCAATGCTTTGAATGCAACTTCAAACTCATTATAAGTTAGATTTGAAAAATTTATTTGAATTTGTTGACGATATAATTTTATCAACGAATTTACATTATTAACGAAGGTACGGTGAGTTTGTTAAGTTCATTCAAGTTTTTAACAAAAAAAGAAATCTTTAAAACCGGTGAAACATTTTTTGTTAATAATGCTTTGGATAAATTCTCTTAAATAAGTTTTTGTTTTGTTTCTACTTTTGTTTGTTGCTTGACAATTTTTATTAGCGGATTACGCATTTTGTTATGATATTTTATTGACATTTTTATTTTGTATGTCATATTACGATATTTTAATTAAATCTTGTTAAAGGGGTTCTATGAAAAGATTGCGATGACGTTCTGTCATCCTCATCTTCTTTGAGTCCCTATCTGTTTTACTTATTTTTTTAAATTTTACATTATGTAGTAGAATCTGTAAAATTCTTATGTTATGTAAACAGAGAAAAAATAAAAAAACAAAAAAAAAACAAAAAAAAAACATCACAAATCTTAATTGATAGGATTTTTCTTAGTAAAAAAAAACTTGTTGAATTCGGCGGCAATTTCATTAGAGCCGTTAACTAATTTATTTCAGTTTTTATTGAAGTCGGCATAGAATTTGTGCTTTTTTATGTTTGCTAGTATTTTCTTTCACTATTTGCCAAACTCGCTTCAAACTTTGTATGTGCTACATAATCAAGTCATAATAGTATTGA